TTCTTTTTACAATCTTTTGTATTTGAGGGGTCTGTTGTTATTTTGCCCCTTTCATTTCTAATTTTGTTTATTTGGGTCCTATCTCTTTGCTTCGTTTAGGTGCTCCTATATTGGGTGCATATATGCTACCAGGTTATATCCTCTTGTTGGAGCAATCCTTATAGTATTATGTAGTGACCTTTGTTGTCTCTTGTGATGGCCTTCATTTTGAAGCTATTTTGTTGGATATGAGTATTGCTACTCTAGCTTTAAATTTGTTTTCATCCCGTCACTCTCACCCTGTGTGTGTCTTTTGTTCTGAGGTGGGTCTCTTGTAGACAGTATATAAATGAGTCATGTTATTTTATCCATTCAGCTACACTATACCTTTTGATTGGAACATTTAATCCATCACATTTAAGGTTATTATCGACAGGTACTTATTTATAGCCATTTTAATTCTGTATGCCTAGGTTCCTTTATTTATTCTTTTCATTACAGCAGTCTTTATAGCATTTCTTTTCTTTTTCTTAAAAAAGTTCTTTATTGTTTAAAGTATTACATATAGCATTATGTATGTCTCCTTTTCCCCCCATTGACTTCTCCCCAGCAACTACCACCCTCCAGTGCAAGCCCTCACCCCCCCCCCCAGTGTCTCTGTCCATTGGTTATGCTTATATGCGTGCATACAAGTCCTTTGGCTGATCTCTTACCCCGCTTCCTCTGCCTTCCCTCTGAGGTTTCACAGTCTGTTCCATGCTTCTCTGTCTCTGAATCTATTTTTGTTCATCAGTTTATGTTCTTCATTATATGCCACAAATGAGTGAGAGCATGTGAAATTCATCTTTGATGGGCTTATTTAGCTTAGCATAATGTTCTCCATGTTTATCCATGCTGTTGCAAATGGTAAGAGTTCTTTCATTTTTATAGCAGCATAGTATTCCATTGTGTAGATGTACCACCATTTTTTAATCCATCCATCTGCTGATAGGCACTTAGATGGTTTTCAAAACTGAGCTATTGTAAATTGTGCTACTACGAACATAGGGGTGTATATGTTCTTTCTGATTGGTGTTTCTGATTTCTTGGGATATATTCCTAGAAGTGGGATTACTGGGTCAAATGGGAGTTTCATTTTTAATTTTTTGAGGAAACTCCATACTGTTTTCTGCAGTGGCTACACCAGTCTACATTCCCACCAGCAGTGCACAAGGGTTCCTTTTCCTCCACATCCCCGCCAGTACTTGTCATTTGTGGATTTGTTGATGATAGCCATTCTGACAGATGTGAGATGGTACCTGATTGTAGTTTTGATTTGCATCTCTATGATGATTAGTG